TTTGGAGCCAAATGAAGTTTGGGGGGGGTCTATTTTCTTCGGTTTCTTGTGTTTGTTTTTGTGGGTAGACCTCTGATGTGGTTTTGTGTTTTTTTGTATTTTATATTTTGTTTTAATTTTGTGTTCAGGGTATGTTCCAGTCCGCGTCGCAGCACGCGCACGTTACGAGCAACAAACAGCAACTAACGTTATTTCTGGAGCCCAAACGCTGTGGAAGCGGCAAATCCGCAAGTCGGCAAATCGCTGGCAGCAGCAGCGCCGGCTGCGGCGGCAGCAGGACCAAACAAACAAAAAAAAAAAAAACCCGAAGCCCAAAAAGCCGAAGGCTTCGCCGGGCACGAAGCCACGAAGGATGAACGACAACGACAACGACGACGCTGCCGCTGGCTGGAGCTTTGTTTTGGTGGTGGAGAAAGCAGCAGGCCAGCAGGCGAGCAGGAGGCTGAGACAGTGAGGTGGGGGGAAGGGGATGGGGAAGGGGAGTTGGTGGGTAGGGGCAGAGGCTGACAGCGGCTGGGATGCTGCGCGTAAAGACACGCGACAATGAAATAGAAAATTTAGCACACAATTGAAGTCATTTTACACACAGACACACAGATACACTAAAACACACACAAACACACACAAACACACTGACATAAAGATACAGCAGCACAGGTACACGTACAGTTGTCGGGGGTGACGGGGGCGGGGGCAGTTTTGGGGGGTAACTGCGGGGGCATTCCGTTTTGCGCCAAAAGCTATGCTATGTGCCACACACGGCTTGCCGCTTGCTGCTGCTGCTGCTGCTGCTGCACTCTCGCGTCGTTCACTGCCGTCTGGCTACTGCTGCAACACGGCCAAGCGGCTTTTCAGGCTGGCTGGCAGATGCCGGTCCGGCCCTGCTTCTGCCGCTAACCCCCCTCCCTCCCCCTACCGGCTGCCCAACCCACTTGTGTCCGACGACGCACATAAAAATCACCCGCCAAACGGCGTACTAAACACTCATTACTCATTTCGGCCGCCCAACCAGCCGCCCTTCAGCCCCTGCCACTGCCACTGCTGCTGCTGCTGCTGCAGCGTTCGCCCACCTCCCCACACACACATAGAGAGAGAGAGAGGCAGAGAGACAGAGCGAGAAAGAGAGATAGAGCGAGAGAGAGCTAGAGAAAGGAGAGATTTTTGCTCTTTTTTTCTGCGTGCGAGCGTTTGGAAAAAAAGGATGCGACGCTGCGAAGCCAACTGCGACGTCAACGCAGCGGCAGCAGCATCGTTGGCCGGGGGGGTGGGGGCGGGTGGCAGGCGGTGTTGAGGAAAATCAGAAACAAAACAAAAAGAAGGAAAAAAGGAAAAAGCGAAAAATGATAAAACCAAAAGCGGTGGCAGCGCAGCCAACAGCAGCAGAAAAAACAGAAGAAATAAAAAACAAAAAAAAAAAAAACAGAAAAAAAGGAGCAAAGCGAAAAAACAGGAGGCGGAATGCGTGTGTGTGTGTGTTTCGTCGGCGTAGGAAAAAATCCCGTAACCAACCCCACTGCATGCTGCGGCCTCTGCTGCCGCTGCCGCCGCTGCTGCTGCTGCGGCGCTGCACACACACACACACAGAGCACACAGAGCACACACACAAACAACCCCCAATAGTGGGAAGGAAATTTTAAAAATCGCGACGAGAGGCAGCGGAAAAGAGCGCGAAACGAAAAATGAAAAAAAGAAAACACACACAAAAATTTGTAAAAGCACGAAAATAAAAAGACACACACACACACACACACGTGCAAGGGCAGAGCTGCGACGGCAGAGCAGCAGCGTCGCGGCATGCCATGGAAAAAGGGGAAATTGACGCACAAAAATAACCAAGCGAATAAAAAGGATATCGTACGTGTGTGTGTGTGTGTGTGGTGTGTGTGTGTGTGTGTGTGTGGGAGGAGAGAGAAGTTTTTTAAATTTTAATTTGTTGTCTTTTTGGCTCCATCTCTCTCTCTCCTCGCTCCCACTCTTTCTCTCCCTTCTCTTCTCTTTGCAGTGTTGTGGCACCCCCAAAAAGTAGGCAACATTTCTAGGTAGACAGGAGATCCACTGGGGGATCCTTAGCGCTGAAGATCCTTAGCAAGGGCAAAAGCGACGGCAGGCAGCAACAGGACGAACAGAAAACAGGAGAGACGACGAAACAGGACTACGAATAACAGAGAACAGACAACAGGGACAGAGAGAGAGAGAGAGAGCAGAAATCACGTACAATATGACGAGACACGGCGTTGAGGCAGCCACGACGTCTTAACGGCTACTAAAACTGGCCAAGAAGCTGAAGCGATGGCCTGGACAGCAGCCACAGCAGCAGCAGCAGTGGCTGTGGCAGTGGCTGTGGCAGCAACAGCAGAATCAAAGGAGAAGCAATGGGGCGGGGGGGGTGTAGCCGGCAAAAGTCGCCGTGGCCTTCATTGTCACGAGGCCGAAAGACGATGCCAACGACAACGACAACAATGCGGCAAACGGCGCTGCCAGCGGCTCAGTCGCTGCTGTCGCAGCAGGTCAAAGTTTTTTGTTGTCAGGGGGTGCTGGGGGCACGGAACACTCGCAAGAAGATGCCTGGCGGACCACACTGTACGCTGCCAGACCATCCTGTTGCTTAGGCCATAGTTTTGATAGAGGCAGCCAGCGAAAACAGACGCTAAAACAGCCCAACACCCCCTACTACACGCAACCCCTACCACAGTCAACATACCCCCGCACTGCCCACTCCCACTGCCCACTCCCCACCCTACGCACACACAGTAAACACTCTCGGAACTATGCGCATAGCAAATGAGCGTAATAAAATCAAATGCTGATAGTGCCTGTAGTTGGACGCATTACCCCCGCCGAAAAATCAAGACGACCCCCCGCCAAAAATACACCCACACAAACAGATGCCCCCCCCCCCACAAAACAGGACACAAAAATACACACACAAACACAGACAGGCAGCGAGTCGGAAGGGAGCCCCGAATCCGAGAGCCCCAGCCAAAACCCTGAGAGCCCCGAGAGCAAATCTACTACACGCAATCTTCATTTTCAACGCCATTCAAAGCCATTCCAATCATCATTATCGTCGCCATAATCATCAAGTAAAGTACCCACCAGTAGCGCCTCGACGCAGCGCCAGCATCCAACTCCCCCAACCCCCCTGGGCCAACTTCTGCCTTCGCAGAAGAGGAGAGGATTCTCTGAGCAAAAGACGAGACGAGAGATGCCAACAAGTGCGCCCCGAAGTATTTTTTTTCTGCTTTCTTTTTCTTTCGTTGCGAGAGAAAGCAGAGAAAGAGAGCGAGATTACAACTGTGTGTGTGTGTGCGGAGCGAGAGAGAGCTGGAGCATAAACTAGAGGGGGAGCGACGGGTGGGTGATAGCAGTAGGCGGCAGGCGGTAGAAGGCGGCAGACTGTGTGGATGAGGATGTGAATGTTGATGTCTTCGTTGTGTAGTTTCGCGTAGTTCATTGAAGGCAGCAAGAAGGTGGCGAAGGTGGATAGGATGAGGGGGAAGGGGGGGGGATTAGAGGAGGTGAATGGCAGTAGGTGGGTGGGGTGGCCTAGGTGTTGGGGGATGATGGCTTGGCGGTTTTGGGGAGTTAGGCAACCGGCAAATGCGACAAATTATTTAAGCTGCATGTGGCGCTCAAGGAGATTTCTTGTGACGCTGCTGCTCCTCCACCAGACCCTCCTGCTGCTGCCCCTTCTACTGCTCCTCCTCTAGCCCCTTTTACTGCTCCTCTTTCTGTTGCTGTTGCTGTTGCATTACTCCCGAATCTTCGACAGATTTCTCGCGCATTGGCATGCAGACAGATACAAAGATACAGATGCAATATTCGTAGATTCCAGTTGATGGCTGGCTGCTTTTCGTTGCATATAATTTAGACACACACACACATACTTAAGAAGGGAAAGGGTAGGGTTGGGTAGGGTAGGGGGGTGCATGGTAAGTTCTTCGGCTTCATCTTTGCAACCATTTCCCATTCCCATCCCCCCGCTTCTACGTACTTTCCCGCCCACACAAAAAAGTTTCCGCATATTTTCTTAGACTTTGCTTTAAATTACATACAGACACACGCACACACACACACAAACACACCCACACTGATGCAGATATACCATCCCGTATGCAGATTACACTTTTTCGAAGGCGACTGAGTGGAGTAATTCCTCAGCCTCAGCCTCAGCTTCAGCCTCGTCGTCGTAGTAATTAGCCAATAGGAATAGCTTTTCTACCATACGGTGTGGTGTCTGTCCCATGCCCCGACCCAACCCGACCCAACCCGACCCGACCCCGTGCCCCATGCCCCATGCCCCGTACAGGGGTGCGTATATTTCTGTGTGTGTGTGCCATCCCTCGTGTGTGGCATGAGGGCTGCCTATGCTATGCTTTGCCTTGCTGTGTGCTGTGTGCTTTAGACCGGTTTCTTTATACGAACACCGAGCAATGTTCTCTATTTGCCTAGAAACCCTTTCCAGTGGGGAATTGTTAAAGGTTGCAGCATCTTTTGATCATCTACTCACCTGCGGCTGTGATCGGTTTGTGGAATGCAAATGCGAAAGCGAATGCGAATGCTCACAAACTGAATCTGGGGATCGGGAATCTGTAAGCAAAGCGAAGCATGAAATTAAATGAGGCTTAAAAGTTTATGCAACAAGAAGGATCTACGTATTTCTGCATCTTAGATATTTTATCTTTTAATATTTAATTTCTTAATATTTAATTTTTTATATTTAATATTTTAATTATTAATTTTTTATATTTATTTTTTTATTTATTTATTTATTTATCTTTTGAATTTTAATTTTTTATATTTAATCTTTTAATTTCTTATATTTCATCTTTTAATTTTTAATTTCTTATATTTAATCATTTAATTTTTAATTTTTTATATTTAATCTTTTAATTTTTAATATTTAAATTTTAAATTTTTTATATTAAGCAAATTGCTAAATAGCTCAAAAGATAATAATGCAAATTTTGTGTAACGCATTCTTTTAATATCTTTTGCAGGTAAATCTTGGAAATTGACTCTCGGATCAGCACAAATTTGTCTGCCATAGGCGGAATTAAATACCGAAATCTGCTCCGATCAGCTACACCCACGATCAGGGATCAGGGTTCAGGGATATAATGCACATACAGATACGTTTGCAGATACATTTGTAGCTGCAACTTGCTGTCACAATAATTTCTACAGCATTTTACTTTCACGAATAGATTTAATAAAATTATTTAAATGGATGTAAATTGATTAATGAATTTGGAAAAATAAAGGAATAATTCTACTCTAAAAGAATAAAGTGACGAAACTCTGTATGTGGATGCCCTTCAATAGCTACAAGGCTGCAGGCTGGGCTTTTTTTTTTCTGAGTAAAATCTCACTAGCATAGAGCAAGCGGTAAAAAAGAAAAAATAGATAGTTGGAGAGACAAGAAAATCCACCCATATTTTACTGCGAAGATACTCTTGGAGAGGTACATTTAAATCGCTTTACTGCCAAGCTACTGTGTAAAAGAGAGACGTTTAGTTTCCTTCGTACCCGGCATAATAGTGAACCCCGATCTGCCAGCAGTTTGAGCAGCCATTGAGAGTGTGTGTTTTACTCACCTGCTTGATCTGCGTATATCCTTATGGCAGCAAACGAATGCTGCGCAATCAGAATGTGAAATCTGGTAAATGGAATCTGAATCTGAATCTGAAAAGATGCAGGAAATAAATGTTGTTAAAGGGAAACCGTTTAAGCCTTGAAATTACGCTAATTAAATGGATTTTAAAGAGGAATAGATACGAGTAATAATATTTATCATTGGAGCGGTGCATATACGATTTTTATACTCTGCCACCCGGCCATCCGGCCACCCATCTCCTGCCCCCGCCTGCCACGCCTGCTCTTGTGGCATTTGTATTGGTAAGTCGCTATCCAATTATTAATTATGTGCCTCGCACCAAAAAAAAAAAAAGTTGTGCACACACATCATCCACTAAATATATGTATATGTATAGTGTATGTGTGTATGGTGTATGTGTGTGTGTGTATGTGTAGCTAAAGAGCTATGCTTCAAGTGTCAGAGCAGCCAGCAGCAGCTCCACCTACTTTTTTGTTGGCTTTGTTTTTTGTTGGCGGCTCCTCGTATTTCTTTTTATTTTTCGGTTAATATATTACGCACATGCGGTGGCGGGAGGGGGATGTACACCCTTGCACACACACACACACACACACATAGAAAGCGAACGAAAAATATTAACCAAACAGAGAGAGAGGGAAAGAGGGCACAGCAGAGCCCCCCGTCCCAGCCCCTTTCGCTTCGACAGAGCTCTCAAGCGGAGCGCAGCAGTTAAAAATATTTAAAAATTTTCAAGTGGGTGGGCATTAAGGGGGTGGGAGGGGCGCCGCTAGTGGGTGGCATCCAAAAAGCATGCGTGTGACAGCCTTCGGTGAAGGTAGATATTTTCTTCATTTTTTTTTTGCGCGCGCTGTGGGGCTGGGGGTTGGGGGTTGGGGTTGGTTTTTTGGTTAATTGCCAAAAACAACTACAAAAAGAACAGAGGGAAGCGAAAACAAAAAAAACGTCCAAACAGCAAATAAGTAGGGAATGTGGCGGGGGGCATGTGGCAAAGCCGAATTGCTGAATACCCTCGAAAAGGGTTCGCTCACTCACACAGCTGCACCCACGATCAGGGAGCAGGGCGCAGGGAGTGGGTATCACGGATCAGGGATATAATGCACATGCCGCATACATTTATAGCGCACTGTGTGGGCTGCATGCCACATGCCACATGGAAAAGAGTATTGCAGAAGAAAGTTTGGGGCCAGCCACCCACCCACCCACTATGTGGTGGTGAGGAGGAGGAGGGGCAGGCTAAAAAAGTTGCGTTTCTCCTTTTTCGTTGGGGCTTTATATAAACTCTGTCTCTGTCACTCTCTCTCTCTCGCGCTCTTTGCCTCCCACTCCCACATATGAATATGTAACCATATAGAAAGAACATTGTCGAACATTGCCTACTGTGTGTGTGTGTGTGTTGTGTGTGTTGTGTGTGTGGTGCGGGAGGGGGCTCATCTCATCTCTCGCTGTTTTCTGTGTGTTGTGTGTGTGTGTGTGTGCTGCTCCCCTTTTTATTATTTCGCGTGACGCAGAGCCCAAAAGCCCAAAAAAGCTACATAAATTGCAAATGTATTTGTGAAAAAGTGCGTCGTGGTGCGTGCAAGTTGTCCTCCTCCCCTACGCCCATACACACCCACTTAACCACCTACTACCCAACCACACACACACACACACAGCCACCCACCCACACTTGTGTCAGTCAGCTGCTGCTCCTGGCTGCTGCTGCTGCTGCTGGCGGCAGCGAAGTTTTCCTTTTTTTAATTTGTGCCCCGCCGCCCCCTTGGAATTCGTTTTGCCAAAATAATTTTACATTTCTTTGGCTGCTCTTTCGATGAGAATGTCTTGGGTACTCTGGGTACTTTTGGGTCCTTAGATGAGTGCAGAGAGAAGATCAGCTAAAGAAAGGTGCAGCATCAGAGAAAGAAATAAAAATTAAATCTGCAATTTTAGCTTTGCTCTATAATACTATAATATAATATAATATAATATAATATAATATATAATATATAATATAATATAATATAATATAATATAATATTTCATATAATATAATATTATATAATATAATATAATATAATATAATATAATATAATATAATATAATATAATATAATATAATATAATATATATAATATAATATAATATAATAATATAATATAATATAATATAATATAATATAATTATTATTATCATTTTATCCAACTGCTACAAATGGAGGAATCTGTGACAAGATCTATCTCCAATTTGGTCCCTTTTCTACCATTGATGATCATTGCGGTTTCTTATTCCTTTTCAGGGATGATCATTTTGAATCTTTTCTGCTGTAAATAAATGCTAATCAATGGCTAAAAATTTATCCTATTTATGGGTGCAGAATGGCCTAATAAGTAGTACGGTAAGTACGGCAGTTCTAGTGCATTTGATGCTGCGACTCTTTTGCTTCATTCTTTGGCTTTCAGTCTTCTTTCAATGCTTCTGCTGCTGCTGCTGCTGCTTTGGCTCTGTTTGTTTTAATTTGTTGTGGGGGGGGGGGTACTCCTATGCCCGCTCTACCCTACCCTACATTTCATTTGCCCTACCATCTTCTACACAGCATAACACTCATACCCTTCGCAAGACCCACCTCCAAAGGGGTGCCCACGCATCATCATTCTCCTCCTGCTCCTGCTGCTCCTCCATTTTCCACTCCCTCTACGCAAAAGCACTTTCTTTTTCGGCAAAAGTTTTTCGCTTTTTCTGCTGGCATGTGCGTGTGTACCCACTCCCCAAACCTATACCCCCACACCCCCATCCCTATTCCGCGCTAGTCTGTTAGTGACAGTCACTGCAGTCAGTCGACGGCGTCGTCGTCGGCGTCATCCTCCTCCTTCTGCGTCATGACTGAGTGGCCAGAAGGGGGCCGGGGCTGAGCGGCAGCAGCCAATTTAATTTTTCATATGTACAGAGTGAGGGGGGGGGGGGCTGGTAGAGAGCAGGGGGGTGGGGGAGGGATTGGGTCTCTGGCAGAGCACAAAACCGAAAAAAAGGGAACAAGTTTTTCTAATTCGCATTTGTATTTAATTTCATGAAGCTTTCTCTTTCTAGCTCTTACTCTCTCTCACTCTCAACGCACTTTCCTCACTCACTTTCCCTCACTCACTCCCCCCCTCCCGCACTACCACAAGCATTCGCCAGCATCTACTACCTTCAAGCATGCCCCCCATATATCCCCCACCCCACCCCACTCTATGCTCCATGTACCGCCATGGAGTTCACGGTTCGCCCTTTTTTTAATGGGGTGCTTTATGACAAACTTTAAGCGCGAGCGACTCTAAACATTAAAATTTGTACATGGCTCCCCCAACCCCCACAACACCACTATGTGTGTGTGTGTGTGTGTGTGTGGCAGGAACAGTGGGGTGCAAAGAGTGCTGGCGGGGTGATGGGGGTGATGCGCGCACTTTCTAACACCGCCCACTAATGCCAACTGTGTGTCTAACTGGTGGAGCGCACGCGAGGAAAGACTCTTCTACTTTTCTCTCTGTCGCGCGTGCATCAAAGTATGTGTGTGTGTGCGCATATGTAAACTCAAAAACCCCAAAATCCTTCTCCAACCCCCCCACCATCCCGCACACACACACACGCAACAACATCATGCGTGCGCGTGTCTGCGGAGTAATTTTTTAACTAATTTTCTATACAAATTTTTAGCATGTCGTTTGGGGCTCGCGCACACACACACACACCCCCCCTACAGTTTTTAACATTATTTTTTGCATACATGAATATGTATGTGGAATATATATATCTATACATATGTGTGTGCGTGTGTGTGTTGCTTGCTCATTCGTTCATTCATTTGCGAGGCTTTGCGCAGCAGTCTCTACTCCTACGTAAGTGCTGCTTGTACATGAGCCTATTTCTGCTGAACGGTGAGGGGTGTGGTGTGGGGCAGGGGTTCCTCAATGCCAAGGAAGTACAATATTAATGTGTGTGTGGGTGTTATTCTTAGAATATGGTTTCAGCTTCAGATTCAGTCAGCAAAGCGTTGTCCTTGGCATTCCCACCCACAGGAATTGCTGCACAAAAAGGAAAAACACATTGAATGCAAGCTGCATGTCCATGGGTAGATATTAGCCCAACCACCACACACACACACACACACACAGACAAACATTGTGGTAATACTCTTTTGGTATCCGCGCATCCTGAAGGACTTAACGAAGAAGGCATCCACCAACTGTTGGACTTATGATGCGATTGAAAAAACATTCATTGAATGGCCAGTACCTTTGACCCGTGGGCCCGTTAATGCTCTTTGACAGGTCCTTACTGTCCCTACAATCCTCAACTAATTGACGCGCATTAAAATTCCAAGAATACACAGCACAAAAAAAGGAAAATAAAAATCCGAAGTGCATCCATCCTTCATTGGACGTCATTAATGAATGCTTTGAGGCAGATTTCTGCTGCTGCCCACCGCACTGGAAGATATGTATGTAAGTCCCACATGTATTTTTTTTTGTCAACAAATTAAAAAAAAGAAAAACTGACATTCCAAAGATTTGCATTACCATTTATGAGGCAATTAGTCGGCTGAAGGCTGGACAAAGGGACAAAAGTGAGTGGTGGAGAAAAAATTCAGGGATTATGTCCCGATTTCCATAGAATACTTTTACCTTTGGGGCAACAGATTCAATCTTATGCAGCGACTTAAAGCACAAGGCAAACAGCACAAGCTGCGCCAAAAAATTGCAAGCATTTTTCTTGTAGATAGAAATACCCCATAAATGAATGGTGCACATATTGATCTGATCATAGCTTTGAAAGAACAAACAAAGAAAAGCAGAAGGAAAGAGCCATAATTATATTTTAGCTAATTTTTAATGCTTTACATTTTTTGCTTGCAAAAAATTTCGCTTCATTGCAGCACTTTGTTCTTGCTCGTTACGCATTCTTTCTAATTTTGTGTGTTTCTACGCTAGAAGCAGGTGTGATATGTAGCGCATCTTCTGGGCATCTTCGGGCGAAGATTAGTCCCATGAGCCTGCAGAGAACGAGCGCGTGGAAGCCAACCCCCATCCTGCTGAATGGAGCATTGGATGGTTTGCTATTGCCACGTCACGTTCCACTAGAGCCTGCCCTTTGTTGCACGGGCTTTTGGGCTGATGCTGTTATGATTATTTGACAGGATGATATGGCGAACAAGGTCCTGATGCGAGGGGTTGGGCCTTGGCAGTTGTACCCCCCACCACCCATGTGAGGGGCACCGATGTTGGACTGGAGCAGTGATTTTGCATTGTTTTGTTAGCAAATGTCAGCTGCCA